TATGCTGGCGTGGCCTGTCTCGGCAGCAATGTGCATCGCAGTTCGACCCTCCTGTTGACAATAAAAGTCAGCGGTCAGTGAGGCACGAAGGGTCGTTGTCGTATAAGGTAGTACAAATATGTACCCGAGGTAACTATCTGATATGGGTAGGGTTAGGGTTTAGGGTTAGGGTTAGGGTTAGGGTTAGGGTTAGGGTTAGGGTTAGGGTTAGGGAGTGGGCGTAGGCGACATACTCGCCGGCACCTCGGGTACTACATATACGACAACGACCCCTTCAGCGTCAGTGAGCCGCCATGGCGCAGAGCACCCGCTATTAGCAAAATTACACGAGGCGCAGATGGTATTCCTAGCTGCGACGTTTATCGCAGGTAATTGTTGGGGCAGTCAATTGATTTGGTAATTATTTGGAACGGGGTGGACAACTTCCGTCCAGATCACGTAGTCCGTATTGCGCGATACTACTCACAGCTGCACGGATAATCTCCGTAGTTGACTGTAGACCTATTTATACTACACTAAATGTACATAATACAACATGGATGAATGGATGGATGAATGGATGGATGGTCGTTGTTCTGTCCAGTCCCTCGTCTGCCTCCGTCCTCCGTCCGTCGTCCGTCCGTCCGTCCGTGCGTCCATCTATACTATCTATCTATCTTCTATCTATACTATATATACTAATATCATATTTAGTATATATATATCTGTCTATCTACGTATCTATCAATCCACTCTCTCTCTCTCTCACTGCTCTTTCTCTATCCCGCCCTTCATCTCTCCCTTTTTATCTCCTCAATTTCTCTCTCTCTCTCTCTCTCTCTCTCTCTCTCTCTCCCTCCTTATTTATCTGTTCTCCCTCCTCCCTTCCCCCCCCCCGGCCATTCCCCTTCTTTCATGCGCGCTCACTTTCTTTGCGCCTCTGGCTTTCCTACTCTCTCGTTGTTTCTTTCTTCACCGTCGCTCTTTCCCCATCTCTCGCCATTCCTATCCACATCCATTTCTCTCTTTCTATCCGCCGTCGCAAGCATCACAATAAATCATTTCACAAATCCAATAGTTATGCCCTTCGGCTTTCATCTAGCTGCATCATTTATGGGATGCACAGGCTATAGTCAACCACTTTATCAGTAATCATAGCAACTGCCAGATGTTTGCGAACATTTTTGAAGGATCGAAAATTGGTGAAGCAACGAGGAGGATACAGATTATTTATAGAGCATATGCGATATCTAGAGGATCGCTAGCTGTAGCTACGTAAATAATGTTCAATTAATCTTACAACGAAAAATGACTACATGGTTGTAGACAAAATGGGACGAGATATAGACGGAGATTACCAAGTGAAATTTCTTATAATCATTTTTAAATTGAAATTTTTACGCATGCCATAAAGGTTTGAACTGCGACAGTTGAGATATACAACCGTTTCTAATGAAACCATTGGTGCGTAACTAATATATACAAAGGTCTACATATACATACAATATTATACATCATTATTATAAAGGTGCAGTTCTACGCGAAATTCAGGCGAAGCTTAACTGGTTCGACTCGGCTGACATCTATGCGTCGCTAAACCCATGAGCAATAATTGTTACCATTGCATACATGAATTGGGTGCATCATTCACGAAGTGAATGCTACAAATTTATTTTGAAGAAGGTATGGATCAGTTCTGCAGATCTATAAGATGTGCGGCTAGCCATAGATGGGACTGATCGAATATATATATATATATGTGTGTGTGCTTAGTGTGTGTGTGGTGTCGTGCCGCATCAGCTGTGTGCTTGCTGCGTGGTGCGTGCGTGCGGCGTGAATCGCCGTGCGTGCGTGCGTGAACATCCAGCGTGCCGTGCGTGCGTGGCGTGCTTGCGTGCCGTGGAGTGTATGTATAGTGTGAGAGATATGTGTGTTAGTGTGCGCGACGCCTTGCGCGCAACCACGTTCAAGCTTTCGCTAGTGCGCGCGCTGTAGAGATTAAACGTTGGTTATCATCTCGGTTACAGACTGCAACATTTTTATCGTATTTTAAACTAGGCGCGCGTCAGGCTCGGGCCTGCATATGTTTAACCCTGCCTTTTATCCTGTCTGCTGCTCGCTCCGCCGCGTCACGGGCAGACTCAGCGCCGGTCACAGGCGAGGTACCTGAATAGCGCTTATGCGCATGCGTATTGCGATTTAGCACCGGTCTGGCCGCCTGTGGCGTATTACCTACACAGCGGTTATCTTAGCGGGCCTGCCCTGCTTTCATTTGCGGGGCCAACTATGGAGCGGGCAGCGCGTATTGGAGCGCGCAGTAGCGTAGCATGAAACACTGCAACCAATATTTGGTGGCGCGGAGCCTTGGCACTGCGGGGCGGGGGCTTAAACAAAACAC